TGGATGTCTTTGAGTTTTCTAGTCTGGGTCTTTCAGGTAGCCGAGCTTGACTCCCTTGGGGTGGCCTCAAACCCTAGAGATGCACCATCTCTTTGCTCAGCAGCTTTTCTTCAGAATGCGTTTTCCTGGCAGTTGTGCAAGGGGAGTGTGAGGGGTGAGGAGGCAGCTGGCTGTGCAGTCCTGAATTCTGCCATTCTAGGAAAACTCAGACACATGTAAGGACAGCTGCCTAGCTGCCAGTGTGTTTTATTGTACCATCCATGTGTTGAGCTGATTCAGGACCATGGATTTGATTCCAAACTTGACAGTTGTGCCTCAGCCTATAAAATATTTACATTGTTTTTCTAAATATATATTATTTACTGTATGATCTATAAAATATTTATATGGGAACTTTTTCCTAAAGGTACTGTTTTCTGAATATTATTTCTATACTATCGTATACTGGTGCAGGAGTCAGAGACCTAGGTTCTGTTTCTGGCTTTTGACTATGAGCTTAGGCAAGTCATTTCACTTCTCTGATTTTCTCATGTGTAAAATTAGGGAGGCAGGATTATGAAATATCCAAGATCCCTTTTAACTGTAACACTGCATGATTTGTTTTCTCTAGGCTGGTACATATTTCATAATCCTGCCTCCTTATTTTATTGCAAACAAAAGGCAGATTTGACAAGACAGGCAGGCTTCCACCTATAGTGATCTCTGAGCACTCTGTCTTGTCAGTGTTTCATCACAGCACACACAGGAGCACCTGCCAAGTGGAAGGAGAGCATCCGATGTAGATGAGAGTCACACCTCTAAACCGTAACAAGAAAAGGAAGTCAGGAATATAAGCAATCTTAGTGGTAACGATGGTTAACAATATGGGCTTCGGAGGAGGGCATATCTGGGGATAAACCCAGCTTTGCTTCTCACTGTTCTGTGATCTTGATCAATGATCTTCTTAAAGTGTGTTTAAAGATCTTTAAATCCCTGAACCTCAGGGTACCTGTATGCAGAATGAAGAGGTGAATATGAAACACCTCCTGGTATTGTTTTAAGGATTCATTCAGTTAGAAATGGAAACTGTGTTTTACATTTGATGCAGTATATGATAAGAGTACAGTAATATTACCATTGTATTATTGATTTATAAAAATTCATCTGTCAAGAGACTTCAAATGGCCTGGCTCCTGTGGTACAGTGGTAGCATACTGAGCTGTAGAGCTAAAAGCTACATGTTGACCATGGTTCGAGTCCCTAGCCCAGTCAGCCTGAAAACACATGGGTGTGTGTGCAAGACCAGAATCCTGGCAGACTGGACAAGAGGAAGGGGATCATGGCATGATCAAAACCTTGTGGAGGGTGCCTCTCTCTCTCTCACACACACACACATACACTATCAGGAACACAATCAATAAAAGAGACGTCAGATCTTGAAATATCTCCTCAAATAGCCTATCAAATTCTCCTTAAATAGAGCTTTCTGATTTCTAAATATTTAAAAATGTGTTCCTTTACCTCTTAATTTGTTGTCATACAAAGTAAATGATAATTGTGGAGAAAAGGGTAAAAATTTTATGGAGTAGGATATTAACTCATATTATTTGAATATAATTTGATCATTAGCCGGTACGTTAATTTATTTAATTGCAAGCTAAAGGGAGATTTGAAACAAATAGTGTATGAGGATGTCTTTGAATGTTAGGATGTTTCCTGCTAGTTTGCACGGGACATTCCTAATTTATGTTTGTTGGCCCTGAGTTATTATTTAAACTGTACTTTTTTTACTCTCAAAAGTGTGTTGGTTTAGACAAAAGTTACTCTATTCAAGCTAATTAAATGTTGGGTTGATATTTGTCACTACAAAAAGGTATTTGGGAACATTGTTTTCATGAAGAAGTCAAATTAAACATATATCATTTCAACTTTAGTTATTTTTCAAGGAGCGAAACCAGTAAGAGACTTGAATCTACTGAATATGGCCATTTAGAACTTTCCACAGGAATAGATGTCTCAAGAATGTCCCAAGTCAAAAAGTTATGCTGAAACAGTAATTTGAGGAAAAGAATTATAAAAACGTGGTAACATTGGACCAGTGGATGGCGTGGTGGTTAAGGTGCTGGACTTCTATATGACCAACCATCATTCAAGTCCTGGACCTGGCAGCTTACTTTCTCACTCTCTTTTCCTCTTTCTCTGTCTCTCTCTGCTCAAATTAAATGATAATAATAATAAATAAAATAAATAATTCTTTAAAAAATCTTGATGACGTTATTGATATTCTGATTCTTCATTTCTTCATTCATTTATGCATTCACTTTGTGCTAAGCAGTAAAGATACAATGATGAGAAACAGGTAGATGTGGTTCATTCTTGCCTTTCTGGGGCTCACATTTTACTAATAGACACAGGAAAAACAAGTTTCACCAGGAACTTTTCAATAGAAAAAAATTGAAAATTACGAACAGTTTAGTAAAGGATCAGAGAAAGACATAAGGCAGAAAGTAATGAAAGTATGAGAGGGAGATCTGTCTTCAGATAAGATTAGTTGGAGAAGATCTCTGGAAACTAGGCCATTTACACTTAAATACAGAGGGGTAAAAGAGGAAGAGCTACAGGGAAGAAAAGCTACCGCATGTGAAGACCCCAAGTCAGGAAGGAGTTGAGTGTATTTGGGGGAACTAAATTAAGATCAGTGAGGCTAGATATCACTGAGTGAAAAGAGAGCCTGGTATGAGATGAGGTAGGGAAGAAAGGCGAAGATCAGATCACGCTAGGCTCAATAGTATATGGTAAAGAAACTAGGTTTTGGGACCAGCAGATGGTGTAATGGTTACATCATTGGACTCCCACATAGCCAATTGCAGTTCGTGGTACGTGTGTGCCCAAGAATCCGAGAGGAGAATGAGAAGGAATTGTAGTGTGGCCATCCTTCTTGGGAGTGGGGGTGGGTGATTTCTTTCTTTCTGTCTCTCTGGTGAGAGCACACATCCTATAACAAAAATCTCTCTTTCTTAAAAAAGAAAGAAAGAAAGAAACTAGATTTTATTCCATGCAAAGTAGAGAGCCATAAAGAATTGTGAGCAGAGGAATGGCATGACTCAATTTATGTTTAATGTTGACTTGATTTATGTTGTAAATTGCTGTCCTACTGTGTAAAGAATAAACTGAATTGAGTGGGGGAGCAAAGTGGAAGGAGGGAGACCAGCTAGAAGATGTTGAAGTGGAACAGTGGGGATGATGATGGTGGTTTGGGCTGGTGTGATATGCTGGAGACAGACTTATTCATGACATTTTTCTAGTTGACTTGCTAGGACTGATAGATTGGATGTTGGCTATGCAGAGAAATGGAAAATTGAGAATGACCACATGGTTTGGCTGTAGATGCTGGGTGGGTATATAAGGAAGATATGTGGAGGTGGAAAGGCAGGTTTGGGGACCAGAAATCACAGTTTCTATTTTGAAAATGTTAAATTTGAGAAATTTCTGAGATATTCAAGTGAAGAACATCAACTAGGCAGTTGGATATGTAAATATGGATCTCTGAAAAGTATGAGCTGAAGTTATAAATTTGGCGCTCATTAGCATATCCATAGAATTAAACATTGGGAATGATGAGATCACCTAGAGGGAGAGTATAGACAGAAAGTGGAAGGTAGGAGGAGAGGAAGGAACTAGGAAGGAAGGGAAGAAGGAAGGACTGAGCACCGAGGAGTATCACCATGTGAAACTGAGGGGAGGTTGAGACACAGAGAAGAAAAATGAAAGAGCTATTGAGATGAAGAAAACTAAGAGTGAGTGAGAAAAGCCAAGAGGGGAGAGTGTTTTTAAAAGAGGAAGCAGGCAGATTGATTGAGCAGCCAAATAAGATGAGAACAAAGACAGCCATTGGTTTGGTCACATGGGTGAAGAAGGTTAAGGATCCAACAAGAGCAGTCCAACATTGTCTCTGGTATTTGAAATGGTGTATTAGGATACACTACTCCGCATAGATTTGCTTGTATTCACAAAGGCTAAAATTTCAAGTGGAAATTGGTGATCTTTTGCATTTGCTCACAAAGGCGTCAGCCCTAAAGCCTGCTGGGACCTTACCCCAGGCCTTGTGGAGAGCTATTGGAACCAGGCAGGCCTGGAATGGGTAGGACAGCTTTCACCTTTGTATATCACAGTTTATATAGCACAGGTTGGACACACAGTAGAATGTCCAGAAATGCTTGTGGACTGACTTAAAAAAAAAAAAAACAGAAAAAAAAAGAAATACACTGCAGTCCAAGCTCTTTCTTTAGTCTCCTTGTAAGAGGTGTTGTAAAGCATGAAGAGCAGAATCTCGTAAAAGACCAACATGGATTTCTTTAAAAAAAAAAAAAAATAGGGACCAGCAGATGGCATAATGGATATGTCCCTGGACTCCCAGTAGTTGATAGCAGTTTGAGTCCTGGGACCCAGTGGCTTAAAACTCACGCCAGATGTGTGTGCATGTATGCCCAAAAATCCTGAGAGGAGAATGGAGCATAAGGTATTACAGCATGATCATCCCCCCTCCCGGGGATAATTTCTTGCTTTCTGTCCCTCTGTCTCTCTGGCTAGCACATATACCCTATAGCAAAAAATCTCTTTTTCTCAAAAAAAAAAAAAGTATTAACTGCCTTAATCCTCTCTATTATTCTGTGGAGCAAGCAGAGATGTTACAGAATTATCATCCCAGTTTTAGAGATCCAGAAATTCAGGTTGAAAGACTAAGCAAGTTGGCCAAGACACAGTCAGTAGGTAGCAGAGCCAGACATTGTCCAGTTCGACTTCAGTCCAGGCCTGTGGTCCCGTGGTCTTCCCACTCCTCCACAGGAAAGAAACCTGATTCATGATCCTCATACCATGTTATCTCTCAGAACAATGGTCTGGAGAAGGAAAGCCATTCTCTTTATGCATTTCTTCTCTTGTTGGTTCTTTCTCCATTTCTGTGGGTAAATTTTCATTTCTTCCATTTCCTTTTTTTTTTTTTCCTTCTCATTCCTGTGCAGTGCCTGGAGAACCAATGAGGAATCAGGTCCCATCCTCTCCCCCTTCCTCGTGCCTTTTCATTCTCTGAATGGTTCATTGTTGGAGAGTAAAAGGAACATGGCAAAGGTAAATGGATGGCTTATTAGGCTGGAGGAAGGGGGAGGGACTGCACACAGACAAGGCCATTATGTAGGAGACTATGAGGGCTGTGCACATATGATTTAATTTTCAACAAGAGTCATAATATCACATTCATGTATGGGGCTGAAAAAAAACCTTTCTCTTAATTCTTTTGAATGATTAGAATCAGGTGGTCATACACAGTGTGGTCATTATTCCAAAAGGGAAACCTAAACAGGGGCATAAACAGTTCACACAGTTTTCACTCACTTATGGATGGGGGGGTTGCGGGAGGCCTAGCCAGGCCAGATGGGCCAGGGTCCCCAGTATTGCTGGCAGCATTACTGAAGGAGTTCTGGTGTACCAGCAATAGGAGTGCAGGGTGTCAGAGGCTCAAAGTACAGAAGGGGGCTGAGGGGATTTCTAGAGACCATCCCAGATGGATCATTTAAAAATATCCCTCCCAAAGCAGGACGTTCTGCACCTCCCTTGGCCGCCTGCACTCATGTCTCCAAGCTGCCCAGTGACCACAGTAAGAAAGGGATGGCTTTATAAAAATTCCTCACATTCGTACTTTAATTAAAAGAAAATCCTTTTATTTTCTGTAGCCTTTAAAAGCTTAATTGTAATAAATGCGGATATAAAGCTTTCCTTTGTATGCTTTTGCAACACAGGAAAACTGGCCACATTTCCACAGCGAAGTGGGATGTGACAGGGAGGGCTTCCTGAATGTGCTATGCAAATTTATGGAAACCACATGCAAATCAGTCTAGTTCTAGTGATCCAAAACAAACAAACAAATGATAGGCAAGAGTGATTACTGGGTCCCGAAGAAGATGACACTACACACAGGGTTGTCAGGTGTGCGTGTGTGCTTGTGCACGTGTGTGCATGTGTTTGTACAATAACAGAAAAGGTGTAGGGCAGCAATGAAACCTGAACACACCAAGGAAATTAGGACCTCAACTCTTTTTTTTTTTTCTTTTTCTATTTCCTGAGAGCTTTTTCCTGTCAAGAATAAAAATTATCATTGGAATAAAATAGGGTCATATGTACACTGAATTGTGTTGTGATATAGAAAAGGCACACAGGGCTGGGAGTCAGGACAGGAGCAGAGCTCCCCCGAAATGCTGGCAGTGAGGGCCCCACTCAGGCTGTGCTCTAGAACACCAGGCTCTAGCACCCTCTGACTGCATCTCTGGCTGTGGGAGAGGAATCTGAGGGGCTGGCTGCAGTTGTTCCTCTGGAGTTTGCACCCTCTCTGGCTAGCTTTGAACCTGGCCTGCTGGTTGTTGTTAGGAGGGTACTCTCATCAAGGGGGGAGGGACTATATTCCACAGTTTACTAGCTTGGCTTGTGCCATGTGGCTATCCCTATACTGTGTGAGTATCCTCTAAGTGCTTGAGCCCGTGTCAACCTTATTCCAAGCAAGTCTGGCCAGAGGACATTTCCGAGTCTTGGGCCAGCTCGAGTGGTTATGTCATCTTGGACAAATATGTTTCCTCTCTGGATCTTAGATCCCTCATTGGTCAATCAGGATCAGGGCAAGGTTGGACTGGGTGAGTGTTAAGTGCTTTGGAAGAAAAACATCTCTGAGAAGGTAGGACATTTAAAAATACTCTTCTGTGCCCGGTGACTCAGAACAGTGGAGATGTGGAAGAGGCCAGTTCCATGCAGGTTGTGGTTTATGAGGGAAAAGGAGTCTGTGGTTTAAAAATCTGTTATATTCTTCAGATGCTTTAATATTAAAATATAAGATTTATGGGACCAGCAGATGGTATAATAGTTACATCACTGAACTCCCATGGACTCCCACAGTTCGAGTCCTGGACCCAGCAGCTTAAAACTCATGCAGGTGTGTGTGTATGCATGCCCAAAATCCCGAGAGGAGAAAGGATTGAGGCATGACTAACCCCCCGGGCTATGATTTCTCACTTTCTGTCTCTCTGCCTCTCTGATGAGTACATGATCCCTATAGCAAAAATCTCTCTTAAAAAAAAAAAAAAAGATTTTTTCAGAAATGTAAAAGGGCATAACTGCTC